GGGGGGGGTGAGAAATCTGTTTGAGGGTTGTCAGCTGGGAAGATATCTGTGATGTTAGCTGGTGGTCCATTTATGATCAGCAGTTATGCCTGGAATGTGTGTGTTCAGTAAAACGTGGTGTGGTTTTGTTTTCTTTTTTTAAAGAGGATACTGTTTGGGTGCCACAAGGTTACTTAACAGACCTATTCCTTTAACAGGTCTCCGTGTAAGTGGGCTCCATGGAGCACAGATACGAGACACAGAGAGAAGTATGTGCAAGCGATCTTCAATGCTTTTTGCCTAAACTAAATCTGAGTCTGATCAGCTTTTATTTTTGTTTTTTTAATACGTAGCAGTCTGTTTGAAATGTCTCTTCTCTCCCTTCCCTCCCCTGCCTTTTTTTTTTTTTTTTTTTACTACTTTGGGCTTAATTTGGGAAGGGGGGAGGTTAGTTGCAGGGATTTAGATTTGGACAGGCAGGATTTTCTCCCATGACTCTCAGCATGGGGAGACGCAGATCAATTCCCTGTCCTGTGTTCAGCTGCACACTGGGTTATGGTGTGTGTTGATCAAGAAATCCCCTCCTGTTTTGTACTGCATAATGCATTCATTTCAGCCACTGAACCTAAATTACTGTTTTGCTTTTCTTTCTTTTTTGATGAAATGGTAAGAACTCTTTTTCTATAGGGATGAAGTTAGTTTATCCGTGCTAATGCTTTGATTTTTTTCCTTTTTTCTCTCTCTGCCACAGTAGGTAACCAGTTAGGGGCCCTGGTACATCAAAGGTAAGCAGTGGGTTATGTTTTATTATTTATTGATCAATTCTAATTGTTTATTGATCCACCATCTGTAGTAGTGTTAGGAAGTCAGAGGTTGAGAATGTGGAGAAACTGTCAGCTTGGGTTTTCTCCAGGCTGGGGTTTCTGCTAACCCTTTAAGGTTGTTTGTTGTGATGAAGAAAGAAGAGTTGATGTGAAACTTGAATTTGGTTCCTGTAAATCTGCAGGGCGAAGAAGAATACATTCTCTTTCCTCTCCCTTCCCTTGCCCTGGCTATGGGGGGAAGAAGGAAAAAGTAAAAAAAGCTCTGGCATTTTAACAAAAGTTGGAAGTATTAAAAGGGCAGGTAGATTTTTTTTTTTTAAGTTTTGTTGGTATAATATGACCTGAGATGACTCCTTTGTCAAAGATGGCTTTGGGAGACTGAAGCAAGCATGAGTTTTCATGGAGCGTGTCTTAGCATCTAATACAAAAGTAAAATTCTCAGTTTTTCTTGAATCCTGGTCTTAAGGAGTTGTCTGTCGTCTTTTGAGTAGGAAGGGGAGAACGTTTCTAAACCTAGGTTCACCTTCAGGCTAATAGTAGTGCACTTCCATCATAATCAGTTGTTTGTTGGGGGCCTGAGCAGAAAGGACAAGCAATATGCATGAAGACATATTTTAATGGTTAGGTTGAAGCTAATGCACAGCTAGGGCAGCACAGAGAAGGGTGGGCAGTGTTGTCTCCTCTGCTGCTACCTGCCACCTCTCTTCTGCCGGGAGTGATGTTCATGCAGGGAACTGATCAGGCTGAAAAGCCTGAATTGGTTTCTTTCTGGTTTTGGTGGTTGGTTTTCTGTTCTGTTGGCTTCTTTGTCCATCTGCAACCATTCCTTCAACACAGGGTGGTTAACAAATCATGCAGGATAGGACATTTTGGTAACAGGCTGGGTTTATTCCAGGTTAAACTAACTGTATTTCTGAACCTCCCTGTAGCAGATGAGTCCGTTCTGTTGCAGGTATGGATGACACTGGTTTTGAATCTCTGCTGGTGAGCCTCAGGACAGTGGAGAGTACTTTATCTGCAGGTTAGCTGGTGAAGTCTGATGTGTATTTTATACCTTCCCTAGCTGATCTAAAGCAAATAATGGGAAGGTTTTAATATACCTCACCACAAAGCCTGCATTGAACTTATTATGCAGGTGTTTCATTGCTTTTGAGATTGCTGAACAATTGTATATAATGCATATCTAAATATATGGAGTTTGCAAAGTCCATATTCATTGTGTTGTATTTTCTATGAGATAGAAATGGCTAAGCAAAAAACCATCCAAGGTAATTCCTTTCTACTTGACTATGGTCAGGTCTTAGGAAATTGCTTTGGGTGCTATGTTTTGAGGCGTAGACACATTGAAAAAGTCCAAAGAGCAATAGATATGGAAGTCTTGAGATAGTAAGACTTCGAAAGATAATTGAAGACAGCTTTTATAAATTCCAAGGAAAAGAATGATAAGGACAGGCAGGCAAAAAAGAGGCATTCGTATCAGGATTGGCTTTGGTTAGTGTCTCTTGGCAAGAGCATATCCAAAAGTAGTAAGCAGAGACTGTGGCTTGGAAGGTTTAGGCTAAATATTAAGGAAACTTTGCTGTTATTCCGTTAAATCTGTCTGGACCAAGAATGACAGAGAGGTTCTTCTGTCAGCTGCATTGAAGATAGTGGATAGTAAACTGGAAATGTGTCCAGCATAGGAGAAATGAGGTGACCATGAGAGGTCCCTTCCAAAACAAATTGACTGTGATGTGGTGTTTACTTGCGTGTGTGCAAAAGCCTTATGCTGTGCGTGGTTTCCACGGCAGGGACATAGTTGTCTTCCAAATTGTTCTTCGTAATGACTATTTGATTTTTTTTCTTCCTTTTTTTAAGGGCTGTAATAACAGAAGAATTCAAAGTGCCTGATAAAATGGTTGGATTTAGTAAGTACCTTGGATGCTTTTGATGTTTCTTGATGTGTTTTTCTGTGTGGGAATGCTGTTTATTCTGATATGCTCACAGGTTTTTGTGCTTACTAGCCTCGGATAAGCCTTGTCTGTTGCTGTCTTCATGGGGACCAGATGATCTGTGTTTAAAATCCAGGTGCAAACTACATGGAAATGCTTAGTGTCCCCATAATAAGAGCAAGACTGTGTGGTACAAGTTACTGAGAGTTTTAGTGATTCTTTCCTTCAAGTTCCCACCAGCATGGTACATAAACAAGTCAAAAGTGAATTTGTTTCCCCTCACCCTAAACGTTTTACTTCCTTTGAGTATGCAAAACTATGAGGGTTAAGAGAGGAAAAGAACATTTAAATGTTAAAATAAGACTTGTCTCAAGGCAAGTTAAACAGAATTTTAAATTTCTTATACAGGGAAACACATCCAGCATGCATTGCTCAGATGAGAATTTTTCCTAGATTTGCATTCCTGATACTGTTCTCTTTGAAGCTTGATCCTAATTTCTCTCTTCCTCTTGATGATTGTTACTCTTCCTTTCAATGGCACCTCCTGCTGATGTGTTACTACAGTGATTGCATAGACTCTTCCACTGCTAGATCTCTGCGTATCTCTTCCGATTTGATATATGGAGAGTAAAAAGGAAAATAGCAGGCCATTGTAATTACCCCTTAGTGTGTGAAGTTTTGTCCCGACTCTAAAGACATTATAAAACTGTAACTAAAATGCCTGCAAAGGAAATGCTTACTCTTCTCCTGCCAGATCTCTTCATTTATCAGTCCTGGTACCACCCATGCAGGGGGATGTCGGAGGGATGCTGTAGTTCGGGGGGGGGGGGGGGGGGGGTGCACGCTTTGTTGATGCATCATCTGTTTGTTAAATCTAATCCTGGTTCAGGGGCAGACAGATGCAGGAGGATGGCAAACCCACAGCTGAGAGATGCTTCTGTGGGAGCATCTTGAGCCAGGCATACCTGTTTGACTTGACAGTTTTGCTCTTTTTTGCAGTCTGGGAAGGATATGAATGGTGATTGGCACATAGTCTCTCCCCAGTATGTCTCGTTGTGAACTAACGATGTGCCGATGCAAAGAGTTGAGGGAGAGGGGTATTTGTTTTCACTTCAGGTTTGACAGAGCATTTCAGTATGTAGCAGTTTGGTCTGAGTGCAGACCAGGCAAATAACATGTCCTTTGAAAAGAGGTAGTAAAATATGAATTTTAAAGAGTCTTTCCCTTTTTTAGTACCCCAAATAACTGGTTTATTGGTTCAGGCTGAACAAGAGATACTGTTCTAGCAGCACTCAAACTAGTGCCTAATTGCTTGCATACTATGTATTTCCATTCCAGTGCAAGACAGGCTTTGTTGTTTTGGTTTTTGTGGTGGGGGTTCCCAGCAAATAGAATAACTTTCAGGTTTTCTACTATGGTAAATCTGGTCGTGCTGTGGATGCCTCTTCTGCAATCCTGGAGTCAAACTGTTCCTTTATAGATAGCTGCAGCGGAGTAAAAGGGGGAAGGTGCTCTGCAGTTACTCAGAAAAATGGTGTGTTCTGACGCTTTTTGAACTCATTTCAGTAATTGGCAGGGGAGGTGAACAGATCTCACGGATTCAGGCAGAGTCTGGCTGCAAGATTCAAATTGCTTCAGGTAAGAGCCTCTTTGTATGGTGGGTGTACAGGCTTTAATGTTGAAGGATGTTGTGTCCATTAGATCAGGTGCCTTGCCGTGCTCATGACGCGTTACCACCGTTAACAGCATGATATACTAGGCTAACATGCATGGGAGAGCTGTTGTGGGACTGACCTCTTGACTGGCATAGAAAACAGGTTTGTCAGGTGGTTTGGGGAATGAAACAATTAAGGAACTGCCTTCAACCAGCAGATGGGTACAGTGCAAATGGACAATCCATGTTGTACTTAGACCCAAAATTGTAGCTGTTGAGTTTTCTCCTGGTGATACCACTTTGCTCAGCTCACGCTGTTTGTCTCTGATTAGTTTGGTCAGTTCCAACTCCTGGCAGAAGACCTTTCAGGAGGGTGACAGCAGCTCTTGGTACAAGTCACCTCTCATCGAACAAATGGGATCATCCAGTTTGTTCTGTGCTAGTGCCTGTTTGCTTTGGGGAAGAGTGTACTACAGTGCAGGAAACCATTGATGAATGTAATCTAAGTTCTTACCTTTCCCTTTAATTGGTGGGGAAGGCTTTAAAAAGAATGCAGACATCCAGGAAATAATTTAAAATATGTTGACCCTGGATGTCTTTGAATTCATTCAAGTACTCTGTGTGCAGGGGAGGTGGCATTTCCATTAGTGCTTGATAGTTACTGAAACAGCTGCCATTTTTTAAATACCGTGTATTAAAAGTTTCCTTCTTGTTTCCTTTGTAGACAGTGGTGGGATGCCTGAGAGGCCCTGTATACTCACTGGGACACCAGAGAGCATTGAGTGAGTTCTGATTTTATTTCTCTCCTTTCTCCTCCTCTCTCTTCTCCCTAATGCTATGCTCTGTCAGTGGTGCTACTTGGTTAGCCACACCAGCAAATGTTGGCCTAGAGAAACTTGAGGGTCTCTGGAGCATAGAACCTCTTGGTCTGATGCTTTAAACTGTGCATCTCAGAGGCTTTTTTTCCAGTTGCAGTTTGATCCCTCTGCAGAAATTTCCATGGAATTCCCCTCCGCAGGGTAAGGTTGCTCTTAGGGCACCTAGGATGCAGTTTTCTAACTGCAGCTTTCCAGGATACTGAGCTAAGCTGTTGAAGGGCATTTCTCTTCTTCCCTTCACTTCCCTACTCCTATTGATGTGACCATCCCTCCAGCTGAAGAAGGGCTGCATGAGGCCTCCAAAGCCTGTTGGTGCCACTCCAGAATAATCTGGAGGTGTTGGTGTTGTTGCAGAGCAGCATGAGTCCCATGGGTGTGCTTGCCTCTGCATCGCTGCCAACAAGAAGCAAAGAACTGAACCAAAGTCTTGAATTCTGATCCCTGCATGGTAGAGACACGTGGCCAGCCAGCAGGGGTTTCTACTCTTTAGACCTATAGAAACTTTAGGGACAGTGTTTCCTCCCTCCCCCTTCCCAGGAGCTGAGTTTGAGACTCTCACAAACCAGTTGAGGACCTCCTGCTGGAACTGGATCCAGGATCCTCAGGCTTACAGGAACACACTTAACATATGGAGCTGCTCTTTCTCTCCCCAGCCTTTGGGTAGGTGGGTTTTTTAAAATCCATCTGGAAATCTTTGAGTTGCATTTGATAGTGAAAATACATGGGCGCAAAGACACTTTCTCTCTAAAGAGAAGACACTCATCATTCTTCCATTCCTAAGAGATCTAAGGGTACTTAAATCTCCTCATTCTACCATAATACTGCAAGCAGTGAGCCAGAATAAATATAATTGGCAAGCTCACATTATAGGGCAGGCAATGTATTCTTGCTGATATTGAAGTGCTTTTCCCCCTTTAGCAAAGGGTATTTCAGAACAAGAGCAAAATACTAAAAATCTGGGATGCCTGTTGAGATGTAGCTGGGGGAAAATGGGGGAGAGGTACAGTTAAGACTTCATGGTTTCTGAAATAAGCAGTTAAAAGTAGTCATGTCCAAGGCTATCTTTAAAATACAAATAAAATGTTAAGAAGTGAGAATACTCAATTTGTGAAGCAGAACAAACTGTTGAGGACATTGAATTAGGTGAAATTTAATTTATTTTTGTGTTGAAATTCTTGTCAAGTTGGCGGTTTGAACTATTTTTTTCAGGCTACTTGTAGAAAAAGAAAATGAAGTAAGGAAACCAATCTAGAAGTCAGACTTCTTTGTGAAGGGTTTTGTGAGGAGTGTTTCCATTAGTTGTATCCAGTGTGAAACTAATAGGGTTAATTTCCAAATGACCCCTTCTCATCTGAAATACATTGCGTATTAACTGTTGTAGTCTCTGTATTGTCACTAAAAGAACTTTATGAAAAATATGTAGATGAATGAAACCTCTTAAGATGCTTCCAGGATATTTGAAGCGGGCTTCCAGAAATTCTACCTTTTGCCTTTTTTTGCAAGAAAGCAGTGCTCTGATCTGTTTGCAGCTCAGATCACCACCCCTGAGCTGTCTTGGGTGAATGTCTGCTCCCAAGGGATGACTTTGTACTGTTTCCTCAAATCGCCAGAGAGAAGACAGTCCTCTTAGGGTGCCTGATACGGCTTTGTATGAAGTGGAGAGAGGGGAAGACGCTGCTTTAGTTTCAGTAGGGAACTGGTGACTTTCTTCTACCTACTTTGAGAAGGGTTGTGGGAGAAGGGCAGGAAAGGGATGTGTTGGTACTAGGAGCCTTCAAGACAAAGGGAAATCCTGTCAGTTACCTCTGACACATTAAAGATTTTAGAGAAGGGATCTTTAATATCCCATATGCTTCTTTGTGTGTCTCCTCTCACCAGGAGTAGAGCCTTTCACTGGTTGCTGCTGCAGTATCCTTGCCTCACTTCGCGGTGTAGCTTCAGCACCTACTGCTTAGAGCAGAGGCTGTGTTAGTACAGTTTTCTGGTGCTGCTGGTAAGAGCAGGCAGAGGAGAGTAAGGCAGTTGCCTGTGACTGATCGGAGAGTGGGTAACCAATGTGCTTTGTTAGTATCAGAGCAGTGTGTGGTTTTTGTCTTGACCAAGGAGGAGAACAGAGCTTGAGTTTTACTGAATATTGTATATGTGTTGAAAAAGTTTAGAACCTAGAGCGTCTTCATTCAAAATAAGCACCCCAAATCCTATAGCTGAACTGTTATCCTTAACTTCCAAAGAGGTCAGAGCATGCTGCTGCTCTTCCTTCTCTCTTCCCCTTTCAAAAAACAAACTGCTTATAAGTAATCATGATAGGGGAAAATATACATCAAAGAATTTAAAAAAAAAAAAAAAGAAGCAGCAAACATTGTGCTAACTGTGGTTTCCTCCATCTTTTCACTTCTTCTCCTCTCCCCGATCGCTTCCCATTTCGATGGTTCCTGGTCTCTTGGTCACATGGAACAATGTTGTCTAATGGTTGTTTCCCTCGATTCTTTTCCAAAGACAAGCAAAACGGCTACTGGGGCAGATTGTAGATCGCTGTCGGAACGGACCTGGTTTTCACAACGATGTTGATGGCAACAGTACGATTCAGGAGATTTTGATCCCGGCATCCAAAGTGGGTCTAGTCATCGGCAAAGGAGGTGAAACAATAAAACAGTTGCAGGTGCGCAAGATGCATTTACTTTAGGGCTGTCTTCCCTACTGCAGCTTCTCTAGATCGACAAGAGCGTGCTGAAATGGAGAGCCTTAAACGCTCTAACCTTCTACAGCAGGGACTACTCTTCTGCCTTCGGAGAGCTGGACTCAAATCCAATCTTGTGTTAAAAAAGAAATCGGTTTGGCCCCAGCTACGCATGTAGTGGAGTTTTGCCAGAACTGTGAAAGAAACTCATGTGCTTTAGATAACATTTGGTGCGTGCTGTTTAGGAGGGGATCCTTGTAGCTGAGAAAAGGCTATCTCTAGTCTGCTGCTGCAATAGTTTTTAATGCCAGCCATACTGTTGTAGAGTGCTGTGCTTCTCTTGTTGCTGTGATAAAGCTGGCGTGTCTTCCTTTTTTTCTCATCCCACCCCTTTCTAATTAAAAGCGTTGTGTTATGTATAAATCTATGTTCCTAGACATTCTTTACTCCTCCATCTGGTACAAGTTTTTTGAAAGAATAGAGTGTTTCAGAAAAGCACCTAGGTCAAAAATGTAGTTTTTGAGTGCCCTGATTAGGCCGCCTGTCATCCAATAGTTTTAAGGCTGGTCACTTAACTATTATATGCAGACAGCTACAGATTTTTGGAAAGGGCTGAAAAATCAGTTGTTGAGGTACAGGGGTTCTGGTTTTTTGCAAGGGTTTCAGGTATTTGAGAACTTCAGGAGTAGCACACTTTCTGGCAGTCCTTTACACTCTAGGACTATTACTGAATTTGTGCTGTAAGTACCCGTGAAGAGCTAAAGTAGCATTCTGTAAAGCTGCTGATTTGACTTCGTAATGTTTAGTAACCAAAATTAGTCCCTTGTTTTAGGGACTCTGCTTAGCAAAGTGCTCTGTGCTTTTTCTTCAGGAACGAACAGGTGTGAAAATGATTATGATCCAAGATGGCCCGTTGCCTACTGGAGCAGATAAACCTCTCCGTATTACTGGAGATGCATTTAAAGTACAGGTATGTAATAAAAGTAAGCATTTGCCCCAGAGAACTGGAGGAGAAATTTAAACTTTAGCATATTTATGAACATCTAATGGAGTCAAATCCAACTGTAAAAGTGATGATCCTTGCTGGTTTTGTTTGTTCTGTAAGGTTGATGAAGTTTGAGAAGAGCAAGTTAAAACACCAGACTAGCAAGTGTTGGCTTGTTTACAGTGTAACCTAGGAGCTCTCATTCCGCATAGATACTAGCCATGGGTAGGAGAAGAGGAGGAGGAGGGTTTGGAGAAAGTCGCTTTGAAACACTTTCCAGTCCATAAAGCAGATATCATAGCTACGTGTTACTCGAGCAAATGGGTTATTAGTGAATCACTCATTTGAGAAAGTGAACCTTCCACAAAACTATCTCAGACAGCCAATTGACGCGGGTAATTAAAATAAATAAATCCTATAACAACTCCTGAAACCAAGGGGTTTGCTTAATATTGGTACCTCAGTCTCCTTGTGTCAGGGTTCTACAGATGTGTTCATACCTGCGGTTCAAAGCAAAAACCCATGATCAGCCGGAGACTGGAAGATTGCAGCATGATGGGAATGCTTGAATTGAAGAATTACAAAGTTTAGTTGTGGCATGTTCCACTCTCAGCAAGTGCTTTTCATACCTTGCTAAGTACTTAAATCTAGCTTAGCATTCCTGTCTCTAATAAAAATAGTTCTGTTTCATAGGATCTCCCTAATGATAAATTGCTGCAACAGTTGATGTCGCTCAGAGGTAGTATGTTTGGGTTGTATTTTTCAAACCTCTTACTGCAAGTGGGCTATTAGATTTAAATGTTTTGGGTTTGGTTTTGCTTTAGTTCTGATTTGTTTGGGGGTTTGGGTTTTTTGTTTTGTTTTCAAATTTCTTATTGTGGAGGTATAGATATGCAAAAAGGAGTTTAATGGCAGTCTTGCTACTTTTAACCAAATCGTACTTTAAGTGCTGCTACTTCCCAGATGGTTTCTTCTGCCTTGCAAGGTTTGCTGTTGTCACATCTTCCGTGCCATAAATCATGCCAAGCAATCATGGAGAGTGCATAGGCTGGAAGATCTTTGAGGCACTTAAAAAAGTTGAGCATGCTTAGAAAGCAGTTAAGGAGCTCGATGAATCCTTGGGTTTGGTGGGATTCTCTGGATGCTGCAACAGTGTTTAACTCTCTCAAATACCTATGAAATCTCTTTGTTGCCCTTATTTCTGTGTTGGCATCTCTGAAATGTCTTGAGTTGTTTCCTTCTGTAAAAAATACCACAGGGGCATGGAAAATATGTAAAAATGTGAAAGGAGTCAGATTCACCAGTGTCCCTCAAACTTGGAAATAGAACCAATATGTCAAAAGCTTGATTGTTAATATATAAAAACAAAGGCTTTGGGTTTGACATGTAGGCTTTTTTTTTTAATGGTGACTACTGTTGGCTTATTTCCGAGGTATGCTTTTACTAGCTGGGCTACATGCGAGCTTGTGAATGGCCTTGAGGGCTGCAAGTAGGTAGGAGGAATATTCATTTGTCTCAGAAAATGTCTTGCTGGATTGCTGCAGACTTGGTCTTAACTTTTCTGAGTGTCAATAAGCTCACTGCTGCCCACCTGCCTTCTTGGTATGTGCTCTCTAGCTCTTAGTTCTCTGCTATGCTACCACAGCTGCTACTTTACTCTATTGGTTTCAGTTCTATCCAGTACGAAAGGGCCTTGCCTTCCTTTAATTTAAAAACAAACCAAAAAAACCCCAACCATCAAAGATATTTTAAAAGCTAAAGGGCCTTTTTGAAAGATTGAAGGAAGCAGTTGCACACAAGAAACCGCCACCTTGCACACTTGGCAGGTTTTGTCAGACATGGAAGATGCCATCGAGAACAGATCTCCATTGACTATGGTAAAAGAAATTCTAAATCAGAATGCTTTTCCGTTAAGCAGATGGAGATTGCTTTGCCTGAAGCCTGACCATTAGCCACTGTGGAGGCCCTAACACTGAGATGGCAAGCAGAATAATTTTAAGCTAACTGTAACTTCTTTCCTCATGTAGCAAGCGAGGGAAATGGTACTGGAGATCATCCGAGAGAAAGATCAGGCAGACTTCCGAGGCGTACGCAATGATTTCAGTTCTAGAATGGGAGGAGGCAGCATAGAGGTACGTTTTCTTCACAAGTACTCTGCTAACCTCCCTGTGGGATGGGTAGTGGGTGGAAGTCATCAAATTGCACGTGTAACCTGTAAGCTTATTTTTAAATGCATTGTGTTCTGTTGCCAGAAGAGTGAATCTGGCTACAAAGAGGAGGAGTTCTCATGGACTCCCAGATGGCACTTTTCTAATTGTCTTTTTAAGCTGCATTCTTGTAGTGCAGAGTTCATTTAGTGGGGAAGGAATCTGTGGCCACATGTTTGTTTTTCTAAAGGGATATGGTTCTGTAGCCTGGAGCTGCCTAACGTGGCCTGTCTTCATAGTTAAGAGCATCTCCTTGTAAAATCAGAGTAATTCAGTCTAGTTCTCTGAGCTTTCATACTGCTTTGCCTTTCCCATCAGGTCTCTGTGCCCAGGTTTGCTGTTGGAATTGTGATAGGAAGAAATGGAGAAATGATCAAAAAGATTCAGAATGATGCTGGAGTTAGGATTCAATTTAAACCAGGTTTGTGTGAGGATGGAGAGCTGTTGCTTTCTGACTAGTGTTCCAGTCTGGGATTGCTAAAGTGAATCTGATCTGAGGTTACTGCAGCTAGGCTTCCCTAATTTAAAGGAATTTGTCTCTTTCTGAAATCCATTTAAATATGATGTGCTGCTTCCTCGTGCACTTTCTGTTTTTCAGGGAGTAAGATTATATACAGCTCATTTGCAAACATTAGATGTCCCAACAGTCATGTCTTGAGTGGTAATTATATGGATAAACAAAATAACAATAACAAAAAACCTTTTATTTCCTATTAAAAAATTCTCCTTCAGGACATTAAAGCCTTTGGGGATCAGGAGTTGATTAATTCTAAGTAACTTTCTCTGGGTCCTTGGCTGTCTGATCACCTATCAAAGCTGCCTTTGTCCTCTTAAAATTATATCAGTCTCTGTCATGGCTTTTTAACATTTGAAAGTGTTGCCTTTTGAATGTTGTTCCCTCTGCAACGTGGGTTGGGTTTTGTCGTCTTTCAGTAGATGGAAGAGGGGCTGAAGGTGGAGGGAAGAGGTAGCTCTTGGGGTAGTTCTGCTATGTGAAACTGCTTCTAGCAATAGTGGTGCTAGAAGGAAGCTTTTGTTGGCGGGTGAGTGTTTTCTCCTTTTAATTTAGTCTTTGCCACCTCTCTTCACAGATGATGGGATTAGTTCTGAAAGAGTCGCACAGGTCATGGGGCTTCCCGAGAGGTGTCAACACGCAGCACACATCATCAGTGAGCTCATTCTCACAGCACAGGTGGGTTCTGGAGGCTCTTGGGAGGAAAGTGCTTATATGAGAATGTGGTCTGCATGCATGCAGCTGTGTGAATGGATGCCACCATCCGAAGAACAGCAGTGTTAAATTTTCCCTCTGGTACACTACACATGGTGCTGTCCAGGACAGAGCTGCTAGGTTTGTTTTTTGTTTGTTTCGGTTTTTTAATGTGATATGGACTGACTGCACTATGGGAAGGTTTCCTTTTCTCAGGCAGTATTATCAGGCCTCATTGTAGCTCCACGTTTACTGCCCATGTTTAGTTGTTCTTATGTTATTTGGAATTACTATGTTATTAGCAGTGCTCAGTGATGCCTCCTCTTCAGACTCCAGTCCTCTGGTCTGGTGGCTGTGGGAGGCAGAGGAAGGCAATGAATGCTCATGTATGCAGTCACTGTGCTCTAAGAAAGACACCAACATAGTGCATTGCCCAGGAGCAAGAAGTACAAAGATGGGTGACGCAGTAAGGCAGACTCATGAAGGAGGTTGTATGTTCCCTCTGTACGATCCACTTAAATTTTGAGGTCTGTTGGGATAGCCTCTGACTGCCCATGACCTGTGCTTTTTGGAGAAATCAGTTACCTAAAAATAGGTATGTTCTTTAAGTGTCTTTGAACTTAAAAGCTTCCTTTGGAAGTTTTGGAAAATGTGCATTTCAGCTGCGTAATTCCAGCAGTTCTTTAGAGAACAACACTTGAAAGGGTTTGGAAGCAACTTCTCTGTGTGTCAGTGCCAAGATCTATTGGTTGCTCTAAGGAAAGGGCCCATCACAAACTAAAAGTCCTTTAGTAGTTGATGCTTGTTTATAGGTTTATTTCAGCAGATAAAAAGGCATGCGTTTAAAAAATATAAATATCTTCCTGAGTCAGGAAGGCAACTCTAACCTACATTACTTGGCATTTCTTTAAAGTGCTTCAAAATCTTGAATGTAAAACTGAAGTACAAGAATATCTTAATTCCGTGCCATTGATTATGATGCAGTTTAACTTACCTTGCTTTATTTTGTTTTTAATGTGCATTGGGGTCAGCAAAAAAAACACTGATACAAATTTTTTGCCTTCCAAGGAACGAGATGGTTTTGGAAGCTTGGCTGTTGCCCGAGGAAGAGGTCGTGGCCGTGGGGACTGGAGTGTTGGAACGCCTGGGGGCATGCAGGAAATAACCTACACGGTGCCAGCCGATAAGTGTGGTCTCGTTATAGGCAAAGGTAGGTCCGGTGACACTAAATACGAGAGCTTGCGTATTTTTCTCTCAGGATGGTCATATTCTTGCTGCCTGACAGTGAGGCTTTGGAGTTTTCTGTAATTGCAGGTATTTAGTGGCCAGTGAATGCAGCATAGGAATAAGCTATAAGCACTTGTGGTTGTTTTCTTTGTGGTGCTCTCACTCATAATTGTACTCTCCAGGTCCTTGTTCACAATATGTAAGAGACGTTCTTCATGCAGAGCTGTCAAGTAAGCTTGTTATAACAAGCAGCTGGCTGAGAAAAGGCAGGTTCATTTGTGGATTCTTTTTATAGAGAATTCGTTTAAAGGACAGTTTATCAGGGACAAGCAGAACAGTCATTTTGTCATGCTGGATTTCTGAGTGTGCCATGTGATAAAATGGAAGGTCTCTGAATGTGGTAATAACAGTAGCTGCTTCTAGCCACACACCTGAAGTGTCTGATGAATAAAGTGAAGTAGCAGGATTTGTCCATGTCTGAGCTTGCGTCTGAGCCTGTTGCAGAGCGGGATAGTGCACCTCATCTCACTCCAAAGAGCCTGTTCGCTGCCACGGAGCCCCCTTGGCTGCCTTAGCCGTTGACTCTCTCTGTGCTAAGGAGATGGCAAGGAGTCATCCTGCTTTCTCCTCAAGAACCAGTACAACTGCCAGACAGTTGCGAAACCAGAGCAGCAGCAGCAGCAGCCTCAATTTGTTATTGAGCATGAGCTACACATCGGGTAATGGCAGTACTTAGAGCCAGGAATAGAAGAGCTCTATTGCTCTGAATTGTTGCGATGCTTCTGAGTTAATACACTGATGTATCAAAGGAGTTGTATTTAATTCTTCTATCTGCTTATTTCAGAAAGAATGACGTATGCCTTAACTAGTATTTAAGTAATCACAGTTGGCTTTTAGCCTCAGCAGAGGTGAGGTGAATAGAATAGGAACAAATTATCTACAGCGGTAAAGGAGGCAGAGACTTGAGTGCATTGTGCCACATTTCAGTGACATTTAGCTTCCTGCCATCCTGTTGGACAGGAGTGAGCTTGCAATGAAATGTGTTGTGGCCTCTTTCCCCTGCTGCACAACCCCGCTGCGCCTCGCTTGTTCCTTTCCATGCGTCTGGCCCCCGTGGCACCTGAACTGCTGCGTTATTGGATGACAAGGCACACAGATACGGGACACGGGCACATCAGTGGTGTATCTGCAATTGTTATCAGATGTTGTTCTTTGCTGTAAACCTGTTCACAAACCTGAAAACTTTTTTTCAGTGTGAAACAACACCTGCTCTCTCCATTATGCAGAAATTGCAGAGTGATTGTGCTTGATCTCACTGAACAGTCCAGTTGGGCAAAAGATCGAGCAAAGTAAATTTTAAGCCCACAAGTGAGTTATATGTATGGAAAAATCAAATTATAATGAAACTTTATTGCTGTATCCATTAGTCATCCTTAATAAAGGATCAGAAAAGGTCACTTGTTGTTCAGCAGCGCACTGAAGTGGAGCATTTATGACTACAGAGAGCACTGCGTGCTGAAAAAATAAATGCAGGTAGCAGAGTTGGATGTCCTAGCGTTCAAGTGCAAGGCCTGGCATAGGCTCACTGTGGGGGAGCGGGGTAGCTTTTTACCTTTGTTTCCACAACAGCAAAACAGGGATTCTTAACTGGCCAGATCAGAAGCTTTCTGGAGTGACTAATTACTAGTTGTATGGTGATTTGAGTGCTTGTAGCTTTGTAATACCACCTTGTAATGGGTGTTCTTACAGTGCCTATGCTCTTAGTCTATTGTAGCCTTCATTTGCGTCAAGTGAGTGATGGCTGTAGCATTGCCTTGTGGGGCCTGGACCAGGATGGATGTACTGCACTTGCCATATGTTCATGCAAGACACCTGATTCTTATTTTCTCTTGTAGGGGAGGGGGGGATGTTAGTGGCATTTTCTTTAACAGTGACCAATTCTAAAACCTTTGCTGCCCCTTTTTAGTTTCTGAGCAGTTTCCAGCTTTTTTGTGTGTGTGTTTGGGGTTTTTTTCCCCTCCTTTTTTCCCTGTGATATAGGACTTAGCTGTTAGCCTTCTCTATAAAATCTGGCCAAGTCCCCTGGGCACACATAGCTTGGTCTCTGAGGTTGGCACCTAAGCAATGGGTATCTTGGGCCCCCAGGTGTATTGTATGCAATGTGGCCAGGTAACTGCTGCTCAGCTTCCAGCTGCATGTCACTACTTGAGAAGGGAGGAAAAGAGGGAGATGACAAAGTTTCTCAGCTCAGTTTCTGCAGTGTATATGATAGAAGCTCTAGGGCCCTTTTTCTCATGGGCATCGCTTCTCAGCTTGGGAGCGTGAGCCTTTATGAGCTGATAAGTGCTCAGCTCCCTGCAAATCCTGTACGTAGCTTTTTCCTGTAGAGGGTGGGTAGGTGCAGCTTTTCTTTTCTGAAAGACTGGAGGAAGGGTGGAGACGAGCACCATACACATGTCAAGCACTTTCTCTGTTTGGTGGTGCTTGGAAACAAACCGCAGCCTCTCTGGGCCCCCACTGGATTTCCATGATAAATACAGCAATATTGACAGATAACGTGGCTGGCCTGGCTCTTGTCAGCTCTGCCTTTTAGCAGGTTTGATTAATTGCTTTACGATTTCACATCCAGCTGGGGGGCCACTCTTGGATCACTTCTGCCCCCCATCAGGTAGAAGAATGGAGTGGGCTGCTGAATGCGTCTATAGACAGCCACCATGTGCCGAGCAGGTCACCTCATTATAGGGGAAGATGAACTCCTTCCGGCACTGTGAGGCATCATGTTGACTGCGTCACTTCATTTGCGTGCTCTGGAGGCTGAATTGGGATCGCTTGGGTGAGAGGGGGCACTTTGGCATGTACCAGACTGGAGGGTAAGGAGGAGAAGGGCACCAAGTCCTGGTGCGAGGTAGGAGCTTGCAGCCTCTGACCAAACCTGGAGAGCAAACTAACTTGATCCTGCACTGTGGTCTAGGAGGGAGCGGATGTGGGGATGGTCCCAACAGCTACCAACTTGGTGCTGAATGCTAAATGGGGAAATGATTTAAAATCTGTATTCTCCTTGCTTCCAGTTTCAGAAAGCTTCAATTTTTAATCCCCTTTTGGAAGGAGAAACCTAATCTGCTGTGTGAGTAGCAAGCTATAGTTATGCCTCTATCACCCAGTAAAGAAGTTCTCCCACTCCTTCATGATCCAGACTGTGATCCTCTGTTTTCGTTAAGCAGATGAAATGGCTGTTGATTCAGATCTCACCTCAATATGTAAAATCCAGAGTTTCAAGCAAGTCTGTATCAGACAAAAGCATTACATTAAAAAAAAACTTTCTTGGTTTTGAAACTTCATCTTACCGCTTTCCCATGCTTGACTGAAAATAAGTGGCTTGGCTTTTGGCTGCATAGTACAATTGCTGTTGTCTGCCCAGAGATGTGACACGATTATCTTTTGTTAAATGCATCTTCAAAAATTCATTTAGAAAGAGTTAATTGCCCTTTGGCAACTTTTCCTCCTCCTTTCCCCAAGAAGGCTTTAAAATGTTAAAAAGGTCACGAGCCCATTACAATGAAATGAACAAGTGTCTGCAACATCCACAGTTTGTTTTGAAGTTGTGCTGAATGTATAGAGATGGAAATGCAAGGAAAATTGAGGAGATTATTTTTGGAGGCTCTTTCTAATTAAAACCAAACAAAATTCTTGGGTTAGTTTCCTTTGCTCTTTCCTGTTTGCTGTATGTCCTTTTGGCTGGTGATTTTTGGTTTGTGATTTAAAAGTTATAAAACCCCTTCCTTCCCTGCACCCTTTAATTTCTCCAGTTGAGTGGAGCTGGTCTGTAAGTTGTGTGAGCTTCCAAAAGAAGAACTGAACCATTGTAACGCTAGCTGAGGCTTTTGTTAAGCAAATTTCATTAAGAAACCGGGACCTAGCAGGTCTTCAGGAAATCAGATCTACTTTGGCTAGCCCTGCCCCATGCTGCCCGAAGCACTCTTGTGCTCTAGCGTACCCAGATGGCAAACTAGCCAGATATGTTCCCTGTGTGCACAACTGACTCTGAAATAGAGGAAGACTGCCTGGAATCCTGCACTGCTGTGGTTGTGTGGAGGGATGCGTATGCTGCAGTGTGAATAGGAAGCGCAGTAAGTGGAGGTTTCTTTAAGGCAGTAAGCCATTGACCAGCACATGATTGTGAGAAAGCTTAAGCTTTGTTTTTAAGCTATAAGGTACGTGGCTGGTGGCTTTTTGCCTTAGCAGAATGAAATGTTTAGTGATGGGGCAAAAAAGCCTCCTGGAAGAAAGAAGCAGCATGTTTCGGCTGCAGGTGACTTTCTTTTCTTGAGGATGGCGAACAGCTGTGCAAAACCACTGGAATTCAGTCAGTACAGTTTTTGTGTCTGATTTGTCAAAGCATATCTCAGCCATGCTGCATTTTGTTGGGAGCCTAGCAATGTGCACACAGGGGCACTGTGTGTATTCTTAAAACGGCACCATCCATTGCCCCAAACACCATTGCAGTAGCTCACAGTTTCAGGTCATGCTTATGCAGTTTAAAGGAGCAACGTGAGCTCAGGTACTGTGGTTTCTTACACTGTTGCCATCCTCAGCCCACCTCCCTTGAGGCACACAGAAAATAGTTGAAAGTATATTCTGTTACAGAACCTGACTTTGTTGTGCTTTTATGGAAAAAGATGCTGAATATCCCTTCTTAGGTCTTATTTTTCTTTTCTTCAGGTGGTGAGAACATCAAGAGCATAAATCAGCAGTCAGGAGCCCATGTTGAGCTCCAGAGAAACCCACCTCCGAACACAGACCCTGGTGTACGAATATTTACAATCAGAGGAGTTCCCCAGCAAATTGAACTCGCTAGACATCTCATAGATGAGAAAGTTGGTGTAAGTTCCATCTCTGTTGATCTTGGTCTGTCTCTTTCAGACATGGTGTTTTCACTCTTAGGTATGTTTAGGCCTGGACTTACAGGATGGCGTAGAATACACATGCTTACGTTATTCAGCTTCAAAACCATTTGCCTGTTAGCAGCTGCCTTGAACTTTGATGGCCCTCCAGCATCCATTGGACTAATTTTTGCTGTGGTCCCAGAAGGATCTGACTGCTGACATAATCATGGGTAGTGTGCAGCTGTATGAGAGGGAAGAACAGCAATAATAAGGTATGAGAAGGCTGTCAAAGGAGATTTTCTGCAGGGAAGACAATAGTGTCACTGCGTGAGAATGACACAATCCTGACATCGTCATACTGAAAGTAACAACTCCTTGCTCCAGTAAATCCAGGATGACTTATTTTCCACTTAATGCAGTGCTGTGGTATTGAAGCTTAATAATGTCAGGCTGGAGTACTACTGAAGGGGGAGACTTGGGTAAAAGAAAGTACGGAAAATACTGAACTGGGGCATGGTAAAGCTGAAAAGCAACCTTTATGCTGAATTGCCCGAGAGGAGAAGGCTTGATACCAACCTCAGGATCCAAGCTATTCAAAGGAAAACTTCCAACTGTGCCATAGTCCCGTTTAGCGCTTCTGTGGGCTGACCGGAGTTGCTTTTGAAGCTCCTGGAGTGTGCTGACAGTCCTGAGAACTTCGTCCGTGGAGAATCAGTCACTTCTTTCAGGTGCTGGGGTTTAGTGGAACGTGTCCCAGGCTGTCCTCTCCCCTTTCTTACTGCTCATACTAGCTACTTCCACCCTGTGCTTAGAGCTGGCATTAAATATTTGTGGATTCTGTGACAGGGTACCAGCATGGGTGGACCCGGAGGATTTGGTCAAAGTCCGTTCAGCCAAGCACCCGCTACACCTCATCAAAAGTAAGCTTCTCCATCTCATCACGGATGTGCTGTGGGGAATGGCTGGGAGCTGTAAAAGCATTGGGAGAAGGGTGGAGGGCCCTGAAGGGGTGATACATAAGTGGTGCCTTTTAAAGACTGAGCGTTCAGAAGCAAGTGAGAGGAAACCTGTAAGCTTGACTGCAGAAAGGATTTTAGCTATTAAATTACAAACAAGGTAGGTATTGGCATCTCCAAAATTCCTGTCTCTAGTGCAGTGAGAGCATGGAAACTAAACTGCATAGATCACGAGGAGTGCTGCTGGTCAGTAAGATATATCTTCATGTTGGCTTTGTGAACATACCAATGTCAAGACAGCAGTCACACCTACACAGTGGGTTTTTTTGTTCCCATGTTCACTCAGCAGTTGCTGACTATAAGTAACAACTTTGCTTCTGTGGGCAACTTCATGTATATGGCCTATTAAGTATTTTATTGTCTACTTCAGCGTGCCTTTTTGTCCTCTGCAGTGGTCCTCAGGCGTTCATGACGCAGGGTTGGGGCAGTACCTACCAGACGTGGCAGCAGCCTGGACAGCAAGTCCCAAGTAGGTGCCTAGGACCTGGGTTGGAGAAGGGTTGGTGTTCCCTTTGCAGTTGCTGCTTTGTGCCTGCAAAACACGAGTTTACCCATGAGACCACTTTTATAAAAACAGCAAAATAATTTCCTGAGCAGAAGAGGTGTGTGGAGGCATGCTGTGGTGTTTGAGCTGAGAATAAGCTGAAGTCCATTGAAACCTGTAACGCTTTTTCTGCACTTAGCTGCTTACTGCTTGTTTCTGCTCTTTTTGTGTGGAAACTCAGTCCTTGCTGTCCGTTCCTAACAAGAACGTTTCTGCCTTAGGCTCTCTTCTGCCAGGATTCTCCAGGCAAGCACTTTCTCTCTTCCCCTAACACTGTGGTGGTGAGCCCTCCTGTCTCTTTGTTCTTGACCGTGTCAATTCTTGCTTATTTTCTTTTTTAAATGTTTCTTATGAACTCTTCTCACTGTTCAGCTCCCGGTCTGATGGAGAGACTAGGAAAGGAGATGCAGAAAATGGGAGAAAGGATAGACAGGGCTCCTATCCTGCTTCATCCACATTGGGTGTAGTAGTGTCCTCTTGTCTCCTTTTGGGAGTTGATAAGAACTGCTCAGACTCCACAGTGCTAAATCTTCAGAATGAGGCAAGTGAGACAACCAGCTTTCAAATAAATAATAATTAAAAAAAAAAAAGTGCACACATGTCCGTAGTCATGAGTTCAAAACTGAACCCAGATCACCCCTGCTGCTGGGCTGTCCACTTCAAGCCACCAGCACTGCGTCAGGCTGGCTGTTATTCTTCAAGGTTCAAAGAGTCATTTCTTCCTGAAACCCTGTTTAGTCAAACTTTAGCAGGCTGGAATGGGGAGTCACCCTTTTCAGAATAATTGAAACTGCAAATGCTAGTGGTGATGTTGGTAACTGCATCATCCTGTGTCTTCAACTGCCGAAGTAGTGGTTTGCCCTAAACAGAGCAGATTCAAGTCTGCTTGGTAATCTCAAAGCTCATGTGATGGTCAGTAATGTCCAACAGATGCTTTTCAATCACAGTTTTTTCAGGAAATGTGAGGTTTTTTTTAATGGCCTGGAAAGCTAAGCACCAAAAAGCGGGGGGTGGGGATGGTAATTTTAAACGGGTTTAATAATGACAAGTGTTTTTCAATCCTAAGGCTGATTTAGCAATGAAGTAGATTATTAACTTCAGTATGAATTCCCACTCTTTGAGGTGCCCAAGGTAGAGGAAGTGTTGGAGGAGCAGTACCTGCAATTGCACTTGTGATTACCTGTAGCACTAATCACATTTTAATGTTTATGAAGTTGTGTGTATATGAAATTTGGAAATTCTCAATGCTGCATTGCTAACTTAGTACACTTCTAAAATGTGTGCTACAGTAGGGTATAGGAACCCTGCATGGGAAGTGTGTGTGTGTCTAAAAATATGCCTCTGGAAGAGTCCTGCTCCTTAACAATTACAATCTATTATGACTTTTCCTTTGAGCTCTGCAGACTTGTAAAAAGTCAATAGTCATTCTCTTTTCAGGACAGCAAGATGCAATGGTGGCCTTGAAAGGACTACTTTTTTGTACAGGAGTGGAATAGTATGGTACCAAAGAAGGGTGTTTTCCCATTAGCTTGTTTTACAGGAAAAATTGTTACTCCAGTCCTTTCCTGTGCACCCCCAAGAGTACTGGACTTCCCTGAGCTTTGGGAAGCAGAGCAGTCAGTGCAGCAGGGACAGCGTTACAAAAAACGTCATTTTTATCTTCCCATAAAGCCTTTGAACAAATGCTTATGAAATGTGCATTGCTATTTGCCTTGCAAGATGCCTTTAGAAACTCACCTTAGTAACTTATCTTCTTTCTCACCTCCCAGAAATGTCCTCTTATCCTGCCCACCAGTCACTGGGGAGGAAAAAAAAAAAAAAAATCTCCCTTCTTGCAACATATAGTCATGTCTCAAGCTCACACCTCCTGGTTTTGGAGCCTGATACAAGAAGCACAGACACTGCGAATCCCCTGATTACTGATAGTACGGTGTGTATCCAAGTGACGGCTGCTTTGCAGTGAGTTTGTCAGGTTTCTGGTGGCTCCCAAGACCAGTGAAGCATCCCACTTGCCATTATCCTTCCCCATATGGGTTTAGTACCGCAAACCTGTGTTTTGGGGGCAGGTGTTTTATTTCTGCTGTTGAACCTGATGGAAGACGTTGGCTCTCTAGTTCCATGTCTACTTAGGATCCTTCATGTTCCTGTTTGTAGACAGGCACGCTGAAGGCGGTCTTGGTAAAGAGAGAGGGCAGACAAGATAATGCTGCGATTTAAGCAGCCTTCACCACTTTCTTCTCCTGCTGCAGATCACAATGGTACCCAGTCAGGCCAGGTGGAGTTCCCCAAGGCATGGGAGGATTATTATAAGAAACTAGGTAAATACCTGCTTTTACGCTTTAAGTTTTAATTTGAAAACAGTCTTGTGAAGGGTCCCTTCCCCGAGTGCTGCAGCCCGTTTGTTCGTGGCTCGGCTAGCCCTGTCAAAGAGCCGGCCGAGTCGTTCTCCGAGCAGGCATCCTAGGGACAGGCTCGGGAGTGCCCTCCTTGTGGGAGGAGGGGCAGACCCCCACCCCCTTACACATGTATTTAGATTTTAATTACTTCCCCCATCTTAAATAAATTAACTGGCTGGGGAAACATTTTGCTGTGAAATGCATTTAGCTGCGTGTCCTTTCAGCCTGCTGCGGACTGTAATTCTCCTAGAAGAAAAGGCATTGAAGGAGGTCCTTTGTTGGCATTAGCAGGTGGACAGTTGAGGCAGCCTTGACCTCTGCCAGAAAAGGTCCTGACTTGTAGCGTTGGTCAAGTCTTTTAACCCGCTTTTATGCCCCTGGACAGGACACTGCTGCCCTGTTCCCTCCACCCACTTCACACTTGCAGTGCATTATATTCCCCCCCTTCCTCCCCACTTCAAAGCCCCTCCAGCCGGCTGGCAGGGCAGGGGCTGTACACGGTCACAGGCGCTTGGGAAAAGCTCTCCTCCACGCGGGTCTCCTGGCCTTGCCTGCTGTCCCTGTGTGTAGTGGCTCGTGCTCAGTGCTCATGCTCTCGCTGTGCCTGCCTCTCTGAAATTTTCTAATTGCTGTATTTTCTGTTCAGGGCCTTTTTTTGTTGTTGTTTGTTTGTATGCTGTGTGTCTGACTGGGGGCTCTCTGCTCTAACTGGGACTAAGGGAAGTACGGGCATCCTGCCTCTGCACCCAGCTGGCTGGACTCTCTCCCCTGCGACAGCGCTTACATATGCTGGATTGAAGGTGTCTTAGTGCTTCAAAGAGGGGGAGTCTGTGCTAGGTGAAGACCAAGGCTTTGGGGTCTGCGAGGTCTCTCTCAGTGCGGGAGTCTGGAGACCGTGCCGCAGAGCCAGTCGTGGCTGTTAGGGGGGTGTCATGGATGTCTCTCTGGATGATGCCTGGGCTGTGGTGCTGAGTCTGGAGACCGTGCCGCAGAGCCAGTCGTGGCTGTTAGGGGGGTGTCATGGATGTCTCTCTGGATGATGCCTGGGCTGTGGTGCTGAGGGCAGGTGGAGCTGGCCCTGCTTTGTGCAGGGCTCACGACTCCTTTTGGTCCTGGGCGTTCCGCAGCCTGTAGCAGCTTGGCTACTCCGGAGCTGCGTGCTGGGGCAGCTGGTACACTGGAGGCTCCTGTGTGGGCATGTTGTACAGATCAGCACTGCCTGCAGGGGTTCCTTCAGACATGCTCTGCTGGTGAGAGTGAGGGTGAAGGATGCAGACCCCTGAAAACCAAGTGAGATGACTCAAAACGTGGCCGTTTCCTTGGCAGCTCCATGGCTGGAGGTCGAGGTGACAGGTCTGTTCTGACGGGTTTGAACCCTCCATCCCTGTGCTAGATGGGAGTGGACTGACAGCCTAGGGTGGTTGATGTGCGAACCAGGCAGCTCCCAGGCAACGTGCTTTGGCTTGAGCAGGTCCCAGCAGGGGGGAGACTTGGCTTAATGCCCTTTAGCAGTGCACCGGTGAGATGAAATCAGGAACTTGAGCTTTCCTCGGCTTTCCCTGAACTGAAGATGCCCAATGCTGTAGAAAGGTGGAAGCTGAAGTGTGAAGTCTGGGCAACTGAGGTAGATCCAGGGCCTGTCTAGTGGAAAGGTAGATGTCACTGGCTGGAAACTGTCACCTGTTTCATATTGACGTGCCCCTTGTTGTCATCTTTGCACAGGCCAACAGAGCCAGCAGCAGAACAGCCATCCCGATTACAGCAAAGCATGGGAGGAGTATTTCAAAAAACAGAGTGAGTGAAACAGGGTTATTGGAGATGAATCGGCTCTTGTAAGCAGAGTTAACTCTAATCCAATGACTTGCGTCTCCATCCCCTGCTATTATTATTAGCTTCCAGTCCTCTAGAAAACCCCTTTGGTCCTCTCCTGTTGGTGATGGTGCATGTAGTTCTCCCACTGAAAGCTCTGTCGTGCTGTCTGCAGTCGCACCTCAGGAGAGGTGCTCCCGTTGAACCACAGCAGATCTCATGTCCATGCTGGCACTTGGCCTGCCTGGAGCAAACGTAGCGCACAAAAAGAATTGATGCTACAACACCCAGAAAGCTGAAGCTGGGCTCTGGAGAGGGTAGGAGAGCTCTGCGCACATGGAAAAACATGGGCCTGGCTTTCTCTGCTCCATTAAGAAGCGCATGATGCCGACTTCTGGATTTGTGTTTGACACCATGCTGCTGGAGCCTTCAGGCCAAGGATGAGGGGTGCAGGCTGTCAGACTGTGTCCCTGCAGCCACAGGAATGGTCTGTTAATGCTTTCTGGCTGCTGTTGGCTTGTCACTTGCAAGCCAGCTCAAAGCCTCTCCTGTCAGATCCCAGCAGCAGATAGCCGGTGTCACTCTTCCAGATGTCTGCAGGTGTTGGAAGGGGGCTGGCTCTTCTTTAAGCTTTACAAAAGGAGATCCTGAGGCTGGGCTTGGTCTTACTGAATTGCTCATCTCTCCCTTTTCCCTTCTTTTCCTCCAGGTCATGCTGCCAGTGCTGCTTCTCAGGCAAGTTCCCAGCCGGACTACACAATGGCTTGGGCAGAGTATTACAGACAGCAGGCTGCCTACTACGGGCAGACACTAGGGCAGGCTCAGGCCCACAGCCAGGTCTGTATTTGTGTTTCCTGAACCCCGCTGCTCTTTAAAAAAAAATGGTGTGGGGACTCTGCTTTGGGTTCACATGGTAAAGCAAAGAGATTATTTTGTGGCTGAGGAAGTGATCACAGAAGTGAGAACTTACTCACTGCTCCCTGTCATGTTGTTTCAATGTCAGGGTCTTATTTCCCTGTACAGGGAGAGGACTGGGAGGTTATTTGTTTCTCCTGGGGACCATTCCTGGTAACCCTCAGGCTGTTTTGTGACTTTGGGGAGTTAAAGGAATGATGGAGCCAGGCCGGTGAGGTAGCACAACACCGGCACATCATGCGATCCAGGACTGTGTGTGCAGACTTTGCCTTTTCTCTTGCAAGCTCTGTGCTAGGATAGGAGCTGTGCCTGGGGAGGGAGCATCCTGTCCTGAAAGGGAGCAGAAAACTGTTGAAAAATAATTTGGATTAACCGGCTGCCAAGTAAAATCTCACCTCACCTGTCACTCAGACCGCTGGAGGGTTCTGTGGGATTTATCCTGATTGTACCCACGGGGCTTTCCCAGGCGCTGGGTTTGCAGAGTGAATGTCTTGGTATTCGGCAAAAAGTATGTGCAGAGCCCACGTACACCTTAGATCCGCCGCTTCTCCCCAGCGAATCGTGTTTTTACTCTGGCTCCTCGGAGCAGAAGCTGGTCTGGATGCAGGCGGTGTGGG